GGGCACGAAACCTGATACGTAATATGGTTTGCGAATACTGTCCTCGCTCAGGCGGGGCCTCCCTGGAGCGGTGGGAGGGGCACGCAACCTGATAAATAATAGGGTTTGCGAATACTGTCCTCGCTCAGGCGGGGCCTCCCTGGAGAGGTGGGAGGGGCACGAAACCTGATAAATAATATGGTTTGCGAATACTGTCCTCGCTCAGGCGGGGCCTCCCTGGAGCGGTGGGAGGGGCACGAAACCTGATAAATAATATGGTTTGCGAATACTGTCCTCGCTCAGGCGGGGCCTCCCTGGAGCGGTGGGAGGGGCACGAAACCTGATAAATAATATGGTTTGCGAATACTGCCCTCGCTCAGGCGGGGCCTCCCTGGAGGGGTGGGAGGGCACGAAACCTGATAAATAATATGTTTGCGAATACTGTCCTCGCTCAGGCGGGGCCTCCCTGGAGGGGTGGGAGGGGCACGAAACCTGATAAATAATATGGTTTGCGAATACTGTCCTCGCTCAGGCGGGGCCTCCCTGGAGCGGTGGGAGGGGCACGAAACCTGATAAATAATATGGTTTGCGAATACTGTCCTTGCTCAGGCGGGGCCTCCCTGGAGCGCTGGGAGGGGCACGAAACCTGATAAATAATATGGTTTGCGAATGCTGTCCTTGCTCTGGCGGGGCCTCCCTGGAGGGCAGGTAGGTATTGTATGGTATTGTATGGTGTGGTAGTTATGCGGTGATGGTGTATGTATGGTTTCCTACGTGCTTGCCTGACTCTGGTGGTCTGCTATAGTATGGTATGGTATTGTATGGTATGGTATAGTATGGTATGGTAGGAATAGGAAGAGGGAGCGAGCGTGTTAGGTATGTATTATATGGTATTGTATGGTGTGGTAAGTATGCGGTGATGGTGTATGTATGGTTTCCTAGGTGTGGTATGGTAGGTACGGTGGTCTGCTATAGTATGGTCTGGTATTGTATGGTATGGCATAGTATGGTATGGTAGGAGTAGGAAGAGGGAGCGGTATTGTATGGTATGGTATAGTACGGTATGGTAGGAATAGGAAGAGGGAGCGGGAGGTGGGAAGGTGGGAAGGTGGGAAGGTGGGAAGGAGAGGGTGTCCTGGGAAAACAAGAACCCCACTCAGGATGTGGGGAACAAGCATGCATGCAAAGAGCGCAACAAAGCGGCCTGCCGGGGCTCACGTGATCGGGCCCCGGGGCCATCAAAGACGAATCGAGCGGTCGGATTATCTAGGGCCGCGGACTGCACCGAATCACGGCAGAGGATGTCAGGGGAGGGAAGCGGAGGGGAAGGGAGGAGGACCGCAGCAGGGGGAGGGGAGGGCAGGGCAGTGCCAATCAAGGGGGGTCACCGCTCCGGAGGGTACCGGGATGGGCCCATTTTCCACCACCGCCACCACAGGCGGGACGGGGGAGAAGGGACGAGGGGCAGGTCCTCCTCCCTCCCCCCCCCCCCCGAGGAGGCGCCTCCCGCCGTGCCCGCTGCCGCCGCCGCCTCTGGCGCTGACAGCGGTGATAGCGACTGAGTGGCGACGTTCCGCACGTGTGTGCGTGTCATGAGAATCCAGAGGAGGATCCTCCTCCTCCTCCTCCTCCTCCTCCTCCTCCTCCTCCTCCTCCTCCTCCTCCTAGTCGTCGGCTGCGCTCCCCTCGCGTGCCCTGACGCTGCCGCCGCCGCCGCCGCTCCCTTCTACACAGGCCGGCGCCGGCAGCGATGACAGTGGTATCGCACAGTTGCTTGTGCTCAGTAGAGCAGTGCTCGCGCGCGGCTCGCCTCCCTCCCCTCGGCCGGCCACTACGCCTACACATATGTACTCGAGTACATTCGCTGACTGCTAGACAGTGGCGAAGCGTCCTGGCTCGCCTATAGCCCTACCAAACAATGCTCGGTGCTCAAATGTTGTTTTGTAGTTTCCACGAAATGTTCTTCGAACATTTCTGGTTGAGATTGTCTTGTTTTTACACATCGGGTTTATGTTTCAAGAATATTGTTTTTGTTCTTAGAACATTTTGGGGTTCCAAGAACATTTCGTGGTAGGACTATAGTAATGCCGGGACGGTCGGTCTCTGCTCAAGATTGGGTATTCTTAGGAGTTAGCCACGGCTTCAAGTGCATCCTCTCCGAGACTCAACTTGGAGCCGCTACGTAAGGATGACCTACCAGAACATCCAGGCAAAAAGCCCATCAACCGGGTCAAGATGATCCCCGAATCTAGGATGAATCGGAAGATGCTGGCTGCGGTCCGAGGGGACAGCCATCGGTCCGTCAGTTCTGTTAACAGCGGGCGTGCCGTAGGGTGCTGTGTCTTGTTGTGGGCGGCCTGACTCGTGCTTCTGTTGTGCGGGCGCGCGTTGCAGTGCGCCGGCGTGTCTCGTCGTGCCGTGCCGTGCCGTGGGCCAGAGGGGGCAGCTCCTATAGTTCCACTGCGCGGCTGTGTCAGTGCCACGCCGTCGTGCCGTATGCCGTGGCGACGCGCGTTCCGCGCCGTGCCTCGCGCGGTGCGCGCGTGCCGTGCTCGCCTCGCGTGCCCGCCTCGTGGTTCGACCTCGACTGCGCGCGGGGCTTGCCGTGCGCCGTCGGGCCTCGGTGCGCTCCCGGCTCGTCATCACGCGGCGCGGGCGTGCCGTGTGGTGCCGCGTTGGACGCACGGCGTTCGGGGTCGCCCGGCGGGGTGGGGGCTGAAGGCGTCCTCCGCGGCGTTTCGGTGGAAGCGGCCCGGAGTCCAGCAGGGGCTGCGGGGAGCGGGGGTGCCTTCTGCGCGAACACGGACTTTTCCGTGCTGTTGGGGTTCGCCCGCGGCGCGGCAGGCGCCTGGCCTGCTGGCTGCACCGCTGTGGCTTCATCTTCACCATCGGCTACGTGTTCCGGGCAGGGCTCTAACGTATACGCCAGAAGCCTCGAGGACCCCGCAGCAGAACACCACAGCCACCCAGAGCAACTCCCCAGCACAACCCTCCCAGCACGAGGCCTTAGCACAATCCTCCATCAAACCCGCGCGGTCTGCTGGGCGGTCGACTGGGTGGTCGTGCTGGGTGGTTGTGTTGGCTGATCGTGTTGGGGTCGTGCTGAGTGGTGTTGAAGGGCGGTTGTGCTGGCTTGTCGTGCTGAGTTGTCGTGCTGGGTGGTCGGGATGGTGGTCGTCCTGGTATGATTTGCTGGCGCTCGTGCTGGGTGGTCGTGCTGGGTGGTTGGTCGTGCTGAGTGGTCGTGCTGGGTGGTCGTGCTGGATGGTCGTGTTGAGTGGTGGTGCTGGGTGGCCGTTGGGTAGTCGTGCTGGGTGGCCGTGCTGGTGGTCGCGTTGGGTTGTCGTGCTGGGCTCTCCACGGGCTCCCGAGAATTTCGTCACAAACTTCTGAGAAGATGTTTGGGGTGTTCTGCAAGGCTTTTGGGGGACTTCGGAGAAGATTTGATTGGGAAAGGGGGGGTTACGAAATCTGCTGCATGCAGCTGGTTTCGGCCTCACCGAGGGGCCCATTCCTCGATACATGGCCGCCTCCGGCGCAGGGAGGCGCCGGGGAAATCAGCTACGTGAGCTGATTCTCAAACCTCCCCTTTGCTATCCCCCCCTTTCGCCCGACCCGACAGTGGTCCCAGAACGCGTCGCAGCTCATCTTCAGGAACTTGACGGCCGTCACGCGCCCCTCGGCGTCGCGGAACTCGGCCTTCTCACTCATCGTGTTGGCCGCCTCCATCCAGGTGGGCGAGGATTCCCGTCAGTGAACGAACAGTTCCACGAAGAAGTTGACGATGGCATGGTCGCGGAAGGTCCCCTCTGCGTTGAAGTCGTTGTTGCGGGCATGGCCGTCCGTGGAGGCCAAGTCCGCGTTCAAATCCGTGAGGGCGGCGATCTGCTCGAACGCCTCGATCTCCGCGGGCGTGTGGTCCCTGGAGAGTTCACCCTTCTGATCGGTTGTCGGGTAGCTGAGCGCCTTCGTGCTGTTCGTCCTCACCTCCCCGAACATTCCCCACGTCCCGATCCTCAGGTACTTGCAGTGGAGGTCGAGCACGAAAATGTCGGAATCATCGCTGGTCAGCTTCATCCAGGGTGCCTTTTGCGTCCTCGCCTCTGCGGCCCGTCCTTTGGCGTCTCTTGACTGGTCGCCCGCCGCCCCCCCCAAAAAACCAAACTTCGGCCTCCCAGGACTATAATGATGAAGCTGCTGCTGCTGCTGCTGGTGATAATGATGCTGCTGATAATGAGGACGAAGATGAGAAGGAAGAGGACGGGGAGGAGGATGATAATGATGAAGATGATGAAGAAGTCGATGACGGTGATTTCCGTAGCCATTTTGGCTCAAGACACCTCGAGCCCAAGAGGCGCCCCAGAAGGCAGGCGCGCGATGGCCGAGGACGTGGCGGCCGAGGAGGCCCCCGCCGTGCTGGTGGGGCCCCTGAGCGAGGAGGAGTTCGGGCCCCGGGAGGCTGCCTTCCAGGAGATTTTCGGCGACTGCGGCGCAGAGGATGCCAAGGCGGCCTCCCTCGCCGAGAGGAAGGCGAGCGGCCTGGACAAGCCAGGGTTCACCTACCATGAGATAGAGTTGCAGGTCATCAACCGCTTGTTGAACAGAATCAAGGCTGACCATGGTCCGCTGTTTGAGAACAAGGGCATGTTCCTTGACCTCGGCAGCGGTGCTGGTAAGGCGTGCATAGCTGCTGGCCTCCTTCATCCGTTTGAGAAGGTGGTGGGCATCGATATGTTGCAGAGCTTGACTGACATGGCCAACAAGGCACTGGCCAAATACCAGGAGGCTCAGCTCCCCGAGGGTGTGGTCAAGCCCCCGGTCGAGTTCATACAGGGCGACTTCGTGGCGGAGTTCGAAGCGAAGCTGGATCCGCTGATCCCCCAGGTTTGTGTGGGCGTGGCAGCAGCGACCTTTTTCGAGGAGGACCAGCTCAATGCAGTGACGAGCCTGGCCAAGAAGATGCCTGACGGCTCTTTTCTCATCACCGTCACCAGGGGTCTTCCAGAGGCCCTCGTGATCGACAAAGACAGGCACCCAGCGCAGCGGCGGGCCCAGGCGGTGAAGAAGGCCCTCTGCGTGCGGGGCACAGACCCTGATGCCGTGGAGATCGTGTCCGAGCCTCCGGAGAACGACCCGAACGGCTGGACGCTGCTCTTCTGCCAGGAGGTGCAGCTTATCTGGGGCCCGGCCACGTGCTTTGTGTACAAGAAGGTCCCCGAGGAGGGCGGCGGGGAAGCGCCCCAGGACGAGGCGCCCGCGGAACCGCCCGTGGAGCAGTGAGAACGCCAGCCGCCGAGCGCCCAAAGGGCATCGGAGGACTCGGAGAGGAAGGGGGGCACGACTTGGGAGGATCCAGGGTTGAAGCAAAAAAAAGAAGAAGTCGATGACGGTGATGATGACGCAATCATGCAAAATAACCAGCGAGAGACAGTAAACAGTTGTGACGGAAGAGGGGAGGAGGGGAGGGAGTCTTGGATGTGGATGTCGGCGTAGTGTCGTTACGTGGGGTGTACGTACTGCCGTTCGAGTGCCGACCAGGTCGAGATGTCTTGAGCTGGGCGAATCCAAGTGAAGTCGTTTAGTTATCTTTTTGTAGTCGGCGTGAGCGTTGGATGCTGGTCGGGGTTGCTTTGTTGGAGGAACTTGGCGACGTCGTCCTCCCAGCGTTTGCGCTGGTCGCCTTGCTGTCGCTGTCCGCGTTGGCGTGGATTTCTCCTGGTTGCCAGTGGGGTGCGCGCCACGTCCACTTGGTGGAGTCATAGTCAGCAACCCTCGACGCCATGCGCCACGACCTCTGTTTGTGAATCGTCTCCCAGTTTGCGACTTGGTGGTGCTGCATGACCTGCTCTGCACGCCGTGTTGCTCGCTGAATGTACTCAACCCAGGGCTCTAGCGTGTCCTCGTTGTCGTCGTCGTCGTCGTTGCTCTCGCTGTGCTGGTCTGTTGCGTCTTGCTATGCTGCCTGGCTTTCTGCGTCGTCGCTGTTGTCGGTTGCGTTGGGATCGTCGCCAGGTGATTCGTTGGTCGTGCCGTCTTCCATGCCGCTTTGGTTACTGTGAGGGACTGTGCGGTGAGTAGTGCGCTGCCGTGCCGTTCTGACGATCATGCGGAGCATGAGGAGGAGGAGGAGGAGGAGGAGGAGGAGGAGGAGGAGGAGGAGGAGGAGCTCGGACCAGGATCGTCTGTCAACCTCCAGCAGTTGGGGTGGTGCGCCGCGCCGGAGGTGCTGCTGCGTGGGCCGTCGAGCTGGGAGGTGGCACGCTTCCATATCTTCGACTGGGGGCGCTCGGAGCTGAATACGGAGGGTGCTGAGCAGGGGAGGGGAAGGAAGCCCGGACTTCCAGCGCACTGGAAGAAGCAGGTTCGATTGTCTGCATCCATTAGTCGGCCTCTGGGGGCATCGCTGAGCCCCAGGACCGTCCAAGCACGACTCGGGACAAACAAAAACAGCCCTGGGTGAGAAGGGTTTTGGCCGTCCGAGGACCCCGCAGTGAAACCATCAAGGAGGTGGCAGCGGGAAACAGCGCTCTGAGGGGGTCGACGACGCGAGAGGGTGCCCCCTGCGCCAGGGTGGCCTTCGGTGCGGCCCCGCCGGGGCCACCCGACTGTCGAAGGCGATGCGGCAGCAGCTGCTTGCGCGCTTCGGTTCGGTTCCCCCCGCCGCGGTCCTCCGCATCCGCGCACCAGAGGTCGATCTTGCCCAGGGTCACTTTGTCTCAGGAAGGGAAAACACACACAGACACAATGAGTCGTCGATTCCCGGGGAAATCTGGGACACTGTGGGAAGTGGGGGGGAGACGAAAGTGCAGAACTTGTGGGAACAGATAGGTGATCTCGGGAATGGTGTCGATTTGTGTGTATGTGTGTATGTGTATGTGTGTATGTGTATGTGTGTGTGCGTGTGTGCATGCGTGTGCGTGTGCGTGTGCGTGTGCGTGTGCGTGTGTGTGTATGTGTGTGTGTGTGTGTCTGTGTGTGTGTGTGCGTGTGCGTGCGTGTCCGTGTGCGTGTCCGTGTGTGTGTGTGTTTGTGTGTGTATGTGTATGTGTGTGCGTGTGTGCGTGTGTGTGCGTGTGCGTGTGCGTGTGTGTATGTGTGTGTGTGTGTCTGTGTGTGTGCGTGTGCGTGCGCGTGCGTGTGCGTGTCCGTGTGTGTGTGTGTGTGCGTGTGTGTGTGTGTGCGTGTGTGTGTGTGTGTGTGTGTGTCTGTGTGTGTGTGCGTGTGTGTGCGCGTGTCCCTGGGCCCCTTCAGCAAGCTTCGCCGAGGGGGAGGGGAGGGGGAGAGACGGCGACGTACCCGTAGTTCTGCGGTCAGGGGCCGCCAGTTCCTGGCCTACCGCACCGAGCTAAGCACGCCCTAGCCACCGGGCATCAGCGCTGCGAGCTTCGGCCAGCCCCTCGCCGCGAAGCAACGCGGCACGGCATCAGCTTTACACGGCGCCGCGCGTGTCGCAGGGGCCGCCGGCTGCGGCACGCTAGTTGCGCAAGAGGTGCCGACCGGAAGTTGCCCTGAGGCTCAAAGGCTGTGTGGCCTTCGGGGGGCGGAGGACGTGGAGTGGTGGACTAAAACGACACGAAGATCGGGACAACATCGGGTCGGGATAACTCGAAATCTCGGAGAACCGGCGGGTTTGGAGGATGTATTGGGCGCCGCGGCCGCTCCAGAGCGTTCCTGAACGCTCTGAGAGTGCTCCGGAACGCTCTGGAGCGATTTATTCCGATCCTAGCCCTGTTTACGGATGGAGGGGGGAAATGGGAAAGGATGCGCTGGAGGATCCGGAGAGAGGGGCGGGGAGGAGCAGGCGGGTGGACGAGAGCAGGTAGAAGGGGTGCAGGAGCGGAGGATGGCTTCACACGGTATCGCCTGTCAATTTGATTGTGGATGGGTCTTGCTGGTTCAGTCTCTCGTGGGCTACAGGGGCAGAATGAGAAGAAGAAGGAGGAGGAGGATAGCTCCTTGGACGGGTCGGATGGGTGGGTGGTGTTAGGGTGTTTAGGACAGGTGATTGTAGAAGTTGTTCATGTGGGACCTTGTATGGGGAGGATGGGGAGGATGAAGGAGGCGGAGTGGGAGTAACATTCAGGGGGCTGGTCGGTGATGTTCGACATCTATCGAGCTACCTGCGACAGACCCCGCCACGGTGTTAGAGCAGCAGCGCAGGATGAAGAGGTCCAGTTCAAGACCCATTGCAATTCGGCGCGCGGTATGAATTCGAGCGGGTCTTGCACTCGACCTCGTTCCCTCGGCTCTGAGGGGCCTTTGAGGGGCCTCTCGGGGGCCTCCTGGAGGGCCTCTTGGGGGCTTCTTGGGCTGTCTATGGGCTCTCTTGGTCCGTCTGACGCCTTCGGAAGCCAAGTTGGGGGCCTCTCTGGGCCGTCTTGGGATCCTCTTGGGGCGCTTTCGGGCCGTCCTCGAGGTCTCTGGTGTCGTCTTGGGTTCCCTTGTGGCCTTCTTGAGGGTCTCTTGGGCCGTCTTGGGGACCTCTTGGACTGGAAGGCTGTCTGAAGCCCGACAAGGCATGAACGCGAGAAACATTGAAAAGCCAATGGTTAATCGCTGATTTTGGGCCGCTTGGAGGGCCGCTTGAAGCCTTCGCGGGCCGTCTTCTCTATGGGCACGTCTGACGCACTCGGAGGCCTCCCCTTGGCCGTCCTGGTGCGCTTCCGGAACGTGAAGGGAGGTCTCTTGGGCCGTGCCGGGCCCTCCTGGAGCCATCCTGGGGACTTCTTGGGCGGTCCTGGGGGCCCCTCGGCCCGTCCTGTATGCCTCTGGGGAGGAGGAGGAGGAGGAGGAGGAGGAGGAGGAGGAGGAGGAGGAGGAGGAGGAGGAGGAGGAGGAGGAGGAGGAGGAGGAGGAGAAGGAGGAGGAGAGGGGGAGGGAGGAGGAGGAGGAGGAGGAGGAGGAGAGAGGAGAGGAGGAGGAGGAGGAGGAGGAGGAGGAGGAGGAGGAGGAGGAGGAGGAGGAGTTGGGCTGCTGAAGCTTGAGAGGCGTGATCCGGAGCAGCGGCAGGCGCCGAGCCCAGAGAGAGCGGCGCGGCCGCCGCGAGGGGGCGGGGCGAGGAGCTGAAGCACGAGCGGCTCTCGCCCGAGGGGCGGGCCGCGCGCGAGAAGTACTGGGGCTACTACTGCGGGGGCATCGCCAAGCTCTTCTACGACTGCTGCGCCCTGTACGTGGCCCGCTTCTGCCGCGGGCAGAGGAGCCCCCAGACCCCTCCTCCTCCTCCTCCTCCTCCTCTCCTCCTCTCCTCCTCTCCCCTCCTCCTCCTCCTCCTCCTCCTCCTCCTCCTCCTCCTCCTCCTCCCCATGCGCCGCCCGCGCCGCCTCTCGGGGTCTCCCCCTGCGCTCGCCGGGCGCTCGCCGGCGCCTCCCCTCGAGGGCAGCGATCGGGGTGTAGAGGCGTGGAGAAGAGGGGGGGGGGGAGGAGGAGGAGGAGGAGGAGGAGGAGGAGAGAGAGAGGAGGAGGAGGAGGAGGAGGAGGAGGAGGAGGAGGAGGAGGAGGAGGATAGGAGGAGGAGGGGGGCGCCTCGACCCCTGATCGCCCATGGCTCGCCGAGCGGGGCCCGAGCGCCCTGCACATGGCTCGTGTCTGATGCTTCGCAGGCTCCTGCGCTTTCGGGGGGCCGAGGTCCTCTCATCCTCCCCCTCTCTCACTCCTCCTCCCTCCTCCTCCTCTTCCTCTCCTATCCCTCCTCCTCCTCCTTCCTCCTCCTCCTCCTCCTCCTCCTCCTCCTCCTCCTCCTCTTCCATCCTGGGCCTCTTCCTGGCCACCAGGGGGCCAGGAGCACTTGGAAGCGAGCACAGCTAGAAGTGAGCACGATGAAGAATGAACGACGTGTAGCCCACCGGGGAAGGTGCAAGGTTACGCTGGGGGTGTGGTTTGCGCTGGGAGCCCATGGGGCCTGTGGGGACGACGCTGTCCTCGTCGGCCCTCCTCTGGGCGCGGCGGAGAGCTCCGTCGAGGTCCTCGCCCGCCCCCAGGGGTGCCCCCAGGGTGCTGGTTGCAAACCATAGCCTCTGCAAGCAAGGCCCTTCGGTGTCGTCGAGCCTCCCCGGACCCCCTCGCGTCGTGGCGTGATTCGTGACGGAAGGTTTCTCGCTGTGTAATGGTTTCCGGGAGCCCGCGCCACAGAAATGGCAAGGGACTTGGAGATCCGTTCCCCAGGAGGGGGCTCCAGATCTCTGGGGGTACTCGTTGTTGTTTCTTTTGTGGTGGGAGCACGGCGTCGGGGGTGTGGGTGCGCATCGGCCTCCTCCTGCTCCTCGTCGTAAGCTGTCTCCAAGGGGTGCGGGGGGGGCCCTGTCGAGTAGCATGGCCCGAGCAAGACAGCACAGTCGGAGAGGCAAGTGTTCTTTGGGTTTGCTGGATGGTCTCGTGCATCCTGGGCAAGGTACCCTTGATTGTTCTATATAATATATATATATATATGTGTGGTGGCCGGCGGAGGGTCTCATGTTCTCGGGGGATGTTCTTCTTGCCGAGGTCCGACTGCACCTCAGCCAGGCGAAGAGGGGGTAGGGGGAAGGGGGGAAGGCTTCTGAGAAGGAGGCTGCTTCTCAGAAGGCGCGGGCCTTGCGCTGCAAGGCGCGCGCCTTCCAAGAAGCAGCCTCCCTCTAAGAAGCATTTCCCCCCTTCTGCGCGCCGCAAAGTAGATAGGGGGGCCACGTGCGAGCCCTACCTGCCCCTAACCCCCCCCACGATTTCTGAGGGGGAGGGCGGGGTTCGCTTTGCTCGGGAGCTCCCGAACGAAGTGAACCCCACCCTCCCCCTCAGACATCGTGGGGGGTGGGGGGTAGGGTTCGCATGTGGCCCCCTGGTAGAGGCAAGAGCCTCAACGCCCGGAGGTCCGCGCGGGTCTTGGAGCAGAGCTGGCCCTCGCCCCCTGCGTGCGGAGCGCGCCCAGGGAGAGAGGACCCGCGCCGCTCCGAGGAACTCTCGCGGACCTCCGAAAGGTTCTGTTTGTGCCGTCTTCTGCGCCTCGAGGAGGAGCAGGAGGAGGAGGAGGAGGAGGGGGGGGGAGGAGGAGGAGGAGGAGGAGGAGGAGGAGGAGGAGGAGGAGGAGGAGGAGGAGGGGAGTAGGAGGAGGAGGAGGAGGAGGAGGGGGAGGGGGGAGGGGGAGGGGGAGGGAGAGGGGGAGGGGGAGGGGGAGGGGGAGGGAGGAGGGGAGGAGGGAGGAGGAGGAGGAGAGGAGGAGGAGGAGGAGGAGGAGGAGGAGGAAGGAGGAGGAGGGAGGAGCGAGGGAGGGAGGGGAGGGAGGGAGGGAGGGAGGGAGGGAGGGAGGGAGGATGAGGAGGAGGAGGAGGAGGAGGAGGAGGAGGAGGAGGAGGAAGAGGAGGATAGTGACAGGGCTTGCACTGTACACTTGCTCTCCTACGTGAAGGTGGAGTTTGCGGTGGAGTGCGCCCCTGGAGTTCGGCGTTTGTCGTCCTCCTCTCGTCGTTGTTTCTGCCTCCGTCCCCCGTCGATTCCTCTCGCGGGCAAATGTTCTGCCCCAACCCCCAGTTTCCGACGAAACATGAAGCCGCTCAGAAAAAGGAGAGAAGCCCTGGGATACAACCCAAGAGAGCTATTCGGGCGCACCCCTAGCCAGGATGGACGCCCCCCCCCCGTCGTACATCCCAGGGTTGGGCCCCAAATTCTGGTCCAGTTGAAAACCTCCCAGAGCCTAGGATATGGGTCGACGTATCCCCTGTTATCCGCCAACTCCATCGTCGTCATTACCCGTTACCGCATCTTCACCCGGACCTGCTCCGCCTCTCCGTCCGCCTTCCCCCCAATCTTGCCGCCTCCTTCCCATCCTCCCGTCTCGTCGTTCTCCCTCGAGATCCGACGTTGCGAAGAAATCGAGCATCGAGCAACAACGAGGCACCGCGAAAGAAATCGCACATCGAGAAACGACGAGGCCCCGCGGAAGAATTCAAACATCGAGAAACAACGAGGCCCCTTATCTTCCTGCTGCATTCCTCAGGCCAGGTCGATCTGTGATTGCCCCAGCGCCCGAGGCCTGGCGCAGGCGCCCGGCGTGAGACAACTGCAGCGCCCAGATCTCGGGGTCGTCCCTCGTGTGGAGTGCCAGTTCGTCCGCTCTCGTTCGGACTTCTCTCGTGCTGTCCCCTTTCTGTCCGTCCTCTGTCGTGTCGTCCTCTTGCCTTTCGCCCCTCTTCGTTTCGCCCGCCCTCCGAAGCGGACGAAGCGAAGCGGACGAATCGAACAGGACCAGTCGAAGAGGGCGAGTCGAAGCGGATGGCATGACATCTTGGCGAAACGAAGCGGAATCCGTTCCTCGCCCTCGTCCTCTTCACCTAATGTCGGGCGTGTCCCCCATACAGGGGGATGGACCATGTTTTGATTCTGTTTTGGGTATTTTTCTTGTGTTTTTCGCCGAACATCCCCCATGTAGGGGGACAGGCCCGACTCAATCTTCACTCTTCGCCCCCGCTCCACAGAAGCGGGTGCCCCCCGGGGTCCTCCCGAGAGGAGCGTCGCCTTCAGCCTGGTCGAGAAGAACACCCTGAGCAGCGACCTCCTCGTCGGAGCCGCGGTGCTGCCCCTCGAGGCGGGGCGCAGAACGGGTCGAGCGGGAGGGCGGGCCTGTCCCCCTACAGGGGCATTTTCGATGAAAAATGCAAACCACCCTCAACAAAAATACAAAAAAATAATCCAAAAACAGTCCAGGGACTATGTTTTGAGTATTTCTTTACCTTTTTGGGGTGTTGTTGGGGTATGTTGAGTTTTTCGCCGAAAAGCCCCCTGTAGGGGGACACGCCCGACATAAGTCGAGCGGGAGGGCGGGAGGGATGAGGAGCAAAGGCTCGAGGCCTCCCAGATGGGGTCCGAGTGCAGCCGGGCCGAGGCACAAGAGCGAGGTCGGTTCGTGCTTGTTGGATGCTCTTGTGCACCTGGGGGAGGGTACCTCTGGATATCCTGTTTGTTTTGGCCGACGGAGGGTCTCATGTTCTTGAAGGATGTGCTCCTGGCCTGGGTCCGACTGTAGACGGGGTTAACGGATCGCGCCGCATCGACGATGTATCGGCAATGCGGTTCGGTGTGGAGCCCGATTTTCTCCGCGCCGACGTCGCCGATGCATCGCCGACGTCAACGATGCATCGCCAATGCATCGGCGATGTATGGTCCAGGGTTTTGGCCCCCCCCCCCCCCCCAATGCTGATGCCATTGGGCCCCCCCCCCCCCGCGCGATGGTCCCCCCCGCCCCCCCCTGTGGGCGTGGCGTGGTGCTGCGCTGCGGTTTCCCCCCCCCCTGTGGATGTGGTGTGGTGCTGTGGTGGTTCAGAGGTGGGCGTGGCGTGGTGCTGCGCTGCGGTGCCCCCCTCCCCCCCCCCTGTGGATGTGGTGTGGTGCTGTGGTGGTTCAGAGGTCGTCGTCGTCGTCGTCGTCGTCGTCGTCGTCGTCCTCGTCGTCCTCGTCGTCCTCGTCGTCCTCGTCGTCCTCGTCGTCGTCGTCATCGTCGTCGTCGTCATCGTCGTCGTCGTCATCGTCGTCGTCGCCGTCGTCATCGTCGTCATCGTCGTCGTCGCCGCCGCCGCCGGCGTCGTCGCCGCCGCAGCCGTCGTTGTCGTCGTGCGATGTACCTTCTCCAACTTGTGATGATCACACCCTTCGACGTTTTTGTATCCTCGACGTCGCACATCCCCAGGTCCATAGATGTGTACGCGGACGATATCACAGTCCAGATCACGGAGCACATCAGCACGATCGTCGACACGGCCGTGACACTGCTCGAGCGCCTGGCTGCGGTCCTGCTGGCCCTCGAGTTGCCCATCGCAGCTGACAAGGCCAAGGTGCTCAGCTCAGGCTCGGCGCACCAGTAGGCATGGGTTTCGTGTAGCCACGTCGCTCAACATTCTCGGGATGGAGACGCGGTCAGGCAAGCCCATCACCTATGCCACGGTGCACACAAGGGTACGCAAGGTCAAGAAGCGGCTCCCCAGATTCAGGACGCTCCGTAGTACCATCGCCTTGGCAAAGAAGATTGGCACGCCCAGCTTGGGCCCAGCCAAGCCTCCAGGTTGTCAGTGCACCCCCAGCGACGGTGGCCACCATGACCAAGGTGGCACGCGTGGGATGGGGCAAGACGCCTTCAGCTACGTCAACGTGGTTGGCATCACAGCTGGAGCCGTCACCGCACTTGCAGCCAGAATGCATTGCTACGGTCGAACCTTTGTTCACATGGGCCCAGCTTGTGATGGATGGCGTGGTGCCCCATCGTGTCCTTCAGACGGCGTGGGAAAAACAGGATCGGCTACTTAGAGGATCGCGTGCCCCTTGGAAGTTGATTGCGGGTCCTGCTGGGGCGGTCATCACCTGCCTCAAGAAATTGAACTGGAGGTATTCGAGTTTCTCAAGCTGGACCACAGGCACGGGCATCGTGCTCGACCTTACGCTACACGCACCTGCCTGAGTCAGAAAGGTTGCTAGGAGAGCGTACGTCAATGTCAAGTGGGAACAGTGGGCTCGCGGATCCGACGTTGCACCTGAGACAACATCTGCAGTGAGAGACTCTAGCGGCTACTGGCTGGAGCCTATCCGTATGATGCTGCAGGCCCCGCCCACGGCCAAGTTGTGGAAGTTGAGCGACATTGCTGTCGGTGCGTTGCGTTCCACAGTGATTGGGGGCCAGTGGACGCAGAAGCGCTTGGCCAAGCACGGCTTCTCGGACATGGACTACTGCCAGGTGTGCGGTGAAGGACATGACGGGACCCTCCATCACAGGTTTTGGGAATGCCCGCTTCTGTGTCGTCATTGCGTGGGCGCCGTGGAGCATGACACCATCCTCAGAGCACAGGCAGCCCCCGTCAACGATTTGTTTCTCACGCGTGCCTTGATGTCCCGAGCATGTCTCCCACCAGTGCCACCACCTGTCATGACAGACCAGTGGTACTACGACCGATGGGAGAGTGGCCTGGACATATCAGGTGATGTGTTCACGGACGGGTCTGGGCGAACACTGATCGCTTGGCCCGAGGCGAACCGCGCTGGCTGGGGGTTCGCCGTCATGCAGAGACATCGATGCAAGGGCCTGGCGTTCGGGCCGCTTCCAGGCCATGAGCAGAGCGTGCCGAGAGCGGAGCTGCACGCCATCATACAGGTCCTGAAGCACGGGATTCTTCCCCTCAACATCAAGTCTGACTGCTTGAACGTTGTGGAGGCCATACACAAGGGACCCGCATGGTGCGTGCATGTCCGTCGTGAACACCTGGACCTCTGGAAGCAGTTTTGGCACCTGGTGCAGGGCCAAGGCGGTCTCTCTGAATCATTGTGCATCACGTGGGTTCGGTCTCATCAGACGGACATCGACACCCAAGGTAGGCTCGACAAGGCAGGCAATGACTGGGCTGACCTTGCGGCCAAGCGCGGTCTCAAGAAGCACGGTCTACCAGTGGCAGTGGTGGATAGGCACAAGCAGCTACTTGAGGAAGTGAGGCATGTGGCCGCGTGGTTCGCCAACCCGCAGAGTTTCTCAGGGGATGTGCAGTCGGACAGGGTTGACGCGGTCGGCCGCAAGTCTTACTCGAAGTCGGCCGTGCCGAAGCGGAGCGTGGAAAAGAAGTTGCATCCTGACTTGGCCTTAGGCGCCGTTCCGCACACCCCCATCTTATATAAGGGAGGTTGGAAGTGCGGTAGGTGCCCTAAGGTGGCCAGGTCCTGGGCGGGGAAGCGGAGGATGTGCGCGTTGCCGTGCAGTGCGCAGCCGTGCCGTGCCCCCCCGAACCCGCCCCCCACCTCGGGAAGCTCAGGATCTGGCACCAAGAGGGCCCTGGATCGAGTCCATCAGGTAGGTGATAGGTCTGTCAGAGCCCGACGCGAGGATGCACCTAGTTGTTTACACCCAGCTCCTGTTTCCCCCTCTCTGGTCCGCCTTGATCGGGGTCAGGGGTCTCAGGAATGCCATGAATGTGTTAGAGCTGTGCGCCCTCGAGTGACTTTCGCCCCTGTCCTGGAGCCTCCCCCTGGGCCCGCGGAGGTCCTTAGGGGAGCTGTGGAAGTTGGCTCGAAGAAGCGCCCCCGTGGGAACCAACCTCTCGGCAGGTGCCACGCGGTCCCGCCCGAGGCCCCGTTGCCTCCGTCTGGTCCCGTCCCGCCGAGGAGCGCACGCGGACATAGGTTGTATATCTCCCAGGACATTGTAGGATGCAGCAGGTGCGGAGCGTACTCTGCCAGAGGCAGCCGCTCACAGCTGTATGACATTTGTAACCCTGATCAGCTTCAGGACGATCGTCAGCGCAAGTGGCGCAGAGATAATTTTATGTCGGGGGTCCACCCGAGGGCGCGAGGTAATCCCGCTATCCCTGTTCCCCGACCCCTAGACGTGGCCGACGAGGCTGTGCAGCGGGTCGGTCTCATTTCCTTATCCTAGTTTCTGTGACAACTCGTCTGGCTTTGATCCAGCACAGGTCGTACGGACCTGGAGCTTAGCGCCGGTGATGTCGCATCCCCCTCGCTCGACTGTGCTGATTGCATGTGCGTTGGTATAGTCATTGTTATGTGATAGATTGTGCGTCTCTCCTATTTCCTGCTGCTCATTTAATCCCTGTACCTGGACTCGGCGCGTCTTCCCATGTGCTCGCTTGTCGCCGTCGTCGCCGTCGTCGCAGCCGTCGTCGTCGTCGTCGTCGTCGTCGTCGTCGTCGTCGTCGTCGTCGTCGTCGTCGTCGTCGTCGTCGTCTCTGGGACCATACCATCTGGGGGGGGGGGCGAGGAATCCTGGGACCATACCATCTGGGGGGGGGGGCCGTGGGCCCTCGACCCTGGATCATGTATAGCCGATGCATCGGCGATGCGGCGCGATCCTCCGACCCCATCTGCTCCGACCCCGTCAAGGAGGCCTCTAACGACTTGTGCGGGGGAGGAGCACGTACGTGGAGGTGGGGTAGCCCTCCCATCCTCGCGCTGCGGGAAACAAAAGGCGCCACGGGAAGTGCTTTTCAGTTTGCGACTTTGGGGGGCCCTCGCCAGGTTCCAGGGCTGTCAAAACACGATTCGGCATGAACAGCCAGTCTCGGGGAAGGGGTCGGGACTTCAGGGACCCCGTAATTGAAAGAATCCTGGAAGGATCGAGGGACAAAAAATGGCATGGACATGATCTTTCGGACGTCCGCAGGGATCGGCTTGGGTCGACGCTGGATCACCCAAACGGCGCCTCCGCCACGTGCCAGGAAGAGGGGTGCAGCGCTGATTCAAGAAGTCCGCATGGGTCTCTCAAAGTGTGTGGTTATGACGGTTTTTGCTCTTCTCGGGGAGGATGTAACGACGACGCGGAGAACCAATTCTAGACGCTTCGTGTAGTCCCACCAGCCCATCCAGAAACGATGCCCAGGCGAGTTGCCCTAACCAGGGATGTGGAGAAGCATGCAGTGGAACAGCGGGCTGGGGAAGCCGTCATACCGCAAGAGGGGGAGGATGAGGGAGGAATCGGAGGGGGAGGGGGAGGGGAAGGAGGACGGGGAGGTGCAACAGGGAGAGGGAAAAGGGAGGAACTGGCGGTGGAGAAGGAGGAGGGCGAGCAGAATGGCCAGAGGCCTCTTGGATGCCACTCGG